GGAGTCGTTTTGGTAAAAATCCTTTGGGCCGGCCGCAGGCACTGGTCTCGTGTCTTTTTTTCTTTTTAATTTCTTGGCGATATACCTTCCTCTTTTTTGGCTGTTTTATTGCATGGAGGAAAGAAATCATTGGTTTTTCCTTCTATCTTCTTAAGACGTTTTTAGAAGATCGATGGTTTCGTTGGAAATAAAGGTTGGACAGATACATAGGGTTGAGCAGAAGTAAATAAAATCGCGAGACCAGCAACTGAAAGCCGTGAAGCCCGTTCGTAGCTACGAGGTGCTTCTCTTAGTGATACAGCGATCACTAAATCGCGTACTCGTCGCACGAGATTTATTCATACAGACGCTCTTTCGCTCGCATTCAACTACTCGTTCATCCCTCTTCATACTCCCTTAAATTACGAGTTACCTTATTGTTGTTACTGTTTCGTTATTGTTTAATAATAGCGCTATCGTAAGAGATTATGATACAAGTAGAATCGGCCGTGTTTGGCACGGCCACCGATCGCGACAATTTCTTTTTACAGCCTGACTTTTTCCCCTCATGCTTCTTTATTTGTTCTTTGTTTTGTTATGTAGCTAGAGCGTGTGCTCGATTTTTTACACGGTCCGCGAATTTTATTTCTTTAGTTGGCTTCTTGAAACGATTATTTATTAGAATCATTCATTTCTCTCAATACATTTGTTTTGAATTTCACAAATATCCATCCTAATTATTATTACAATTATTGTTCGATTATTATTGAAGCGTAATTAATAGAATTATGAGAAATTTCGCATATTTAAATAGCTATTGGCGTCACAGTATTTGATTCTTACCATGTAATTGTAAAATTATTTCGGACGATTTAAAGTTTGGGCGAATAAAAATCTGAATTTGAAATAGAATGTTAGAAATGCGAATGTTCAAATGGCGTAGTAGAACGTGGTAAATGCGTGGTAGAACGTTGAGTGGTGATGTCATTGCCACGCGTTGAAATCACTGCACCAATACCATAATGTCATAATCTTTTAACCCAGGACATCTCCGAATTTTTTCAATATATTTCATAATTTATTCATTCAAAAATGCCAAAATATCAATCTTTTGATTAAAAAATGTGGCATAGATAAAAATTTGTCTCAAATTTTCGAAATATTCCCATACAAAAATTATTCAATGAAATATTAAATAACGTCAGATGCTTTAGAACAGTGTTGATTGCCAAATGATATTTAATTTACAGAGGCGTTATTATGTTCCGATAATGGGAATTTCGCGGAACGTGAGTAAATCGAGCTTGTACATACGATAAGATGTACGAGGATCAAGAGCAAATCGAAATTGCACGGGGCGAAGGAGATGGAGAGCAAAAGTCGGTGGCGAATTTCGATGGGATCGACCAATCGATCGTGGCGGAGACGTCCGATAAGATGAAAGAGAGAGAGAGAAAGAGAGAGAGAGGGAGTGTGTATTTTTTTACGGAAGGAAAATTTCTGCATTTTCGGTTTGCTCAAAAATGTGGTCGGAAACGTACTGGTTCGATCGTCGCGAACGATCGACTCGACAGTGACGTTTGTCGGCGCTGATAAATAATTTTATCGCGCATCTCCTACATAAATCATGATAATAATAATAATAATACAATAATAATAAAGTTAAAATTATAATAATTAAAATACAATAATAATATAATAATATTAATAATAATAATAATCACGCAGACTGGACAGAGCGCGGCGAAAATATCCAACAATTGTTCTCTCTGGTTCGCTTTTTACGCAATTTTTTTTCTTCCTTCTTCTTGTTTCCTTTTTTTGTACACAAAATACCAACTATCTGTGCTGGAAAACGCACATACTGCTTGTACGCCTCGATATAATAATATATATAATATATATATCTATATATATATGTATAATATTTATATATGTATATAGTACTTATGTATCGCCCGCGTTTAGGGCACCAGTTTTCTTTTCTTGTTCTTCATTACCTAATATCAAATATTTATAAGTATTCATTCGTTCTGCCATGCGTAATATCGTTTAGCGTGTAGCGTGGATCACTATTGCGGTGTGTTTTACAATGTGTTATCTTTTATTTTTTCTTCTCCCCTTTCGTTACGCCTAAAAATCGTCTCAACTTATTATTTACAATTGTTCGTCTAATTAATCGTTATGTTTCGCATGTCGTGTCCTGTACACGTCGCTTCTAGATCATCCGTCCTCGAGAGTGGCTCTCACACGACGAAAACGGTGAAACTTATTCGAGGAAAGAAAGGAAAATATAACGAAAAAGGGAAAGGATAAGAAATTGTGAAATGTGTGCACAAAGAGAAATAGGAAAACCTCGAGGAGAAAATTTAAATGTATTCTCGTCGAGTTTTACTATTTTCACTCTCGTTTTTTCGCACCCCTAAAACTTTCGATTTCGGTCGATTCTTCTTCTTCCGTTTACTCTATCTTCTTTCCTCTCTTTCTCTCGATTTAATTAAATATTCAACCACATAGTACATTCATACTACACACCAGACAACCCGGAAATTAATGGATACATTTGTTCGACTACACGGTAGCCACAGCGCTCGACCAATGGAACGAGAGAGACGCTTCATCTCCCTACTTTACATTGTTCCTTAATCACCTGCGTCTCCGTGGTTCACTAGAAGGTCTTCGTACTCTTCCCATTCTTTTTTCTCATCATCATCATCATCATCATCATCATCATCATCATCATCATCATCATCATCATCATCATCATCATCATCATCATCATCATCATCATCATCATCATCATCATCATCATCATCATCATCATCATCATCATCATCATCATCATCATCATCATCATCATCATCATCATCATCATCATCATCATCATCATCATCATCATCATCATCATCATCATCATCATCATCATCATCATCATCATCATCATCATCATCATCATCATCATCATCATCATCATCATCATCATCATCATCATCATCATCATCATCATCATCATCATCATCATCATCATCATCATCATCATCATCATCATCATCATCATCATCATCATCATCATCATCATCATCATCATCATCATCATCATCATCATCATCATCATCATCATCATCATCATCATCATCATCATCATCATCATCATCATCATCATCATCATCATCATCATCATCATCACCATCATCATTATCATCATCATCATCATTATCATCATCATCATTATCATCATCATTATCATAATCATCATCATCATCATCATAATCATCATCATCATCATCATCATCATCATCATCATCATCATCATCTTTTTCCGGCCCGACATCTTCGACGACCGCGAAGTTGACGAAATTTTTTATTTCTTTTTTTTTTATTCTTTGCTTGTTTGCATATAATATCGAACAACTGAGTTCACCGACGGGTTTACGAGAGAGATCGATTATCCGATCCTCTCACCCCATTGGACGATCGTTAAAACTAGATTACTATTTAGAAGGAAAATCGACACATCATCGCGACTTACATCACGCAGAGAGAAACTCGTGTGATCGAGTTCTGATATCGAAGGAGATTCGTACAATTAAAGTTGAGAACGTCCAGAAATTATTAAGAAAATTCTTCGTAATTTCTCGACGTGAAAAACTCGTCAACAGAACAGATTATTAATTGTTCTTCTTTTGCAATCTCGTTTCTTGTTGTTGTTATTTCTGTTCCATTTCATTTTTTTTTTTAATTTCACGATGTTCATCGAAAGCAGAAGGCGTCAGCGACGAGTTCTCTTTTTATCGATTTGGTCTCGACGCAAGCTTACACGAGCGTTAAAACGGATGACGATCACATGCTTGCAAGGACAGGAAGCTTCGAGGGGGTGTGGGGATTTAAGCGTGCAAGACATCGAAACACGTTTCGATTCTTTCATATCTTCCCTTTTCTTTTTAAGAAAACTCCTATGAAACGTATTCTTTACGTCTCTTTGATCAATCATCTATCCAATTGATTACAATATGTCTACGTGCCGATCAAACGACCAATTCTGTCTACTCTACGATCAATTTTAATAGAACGATCGATGGCATAACCGATATAATATAGCGTAGACAAAATTTATGTTTCTTATGTTGTTTCAAGACCGATGCTTCCACGATCGAAACGCGTGATCGAAAATCAACGAGGATCGCAGTGTCGCTAGCGATGACAATAACAATAATAATAACCACTAAAATACGCACTATGTATATTATTTCTGTACAAAGTGTGTGTAATTGCACAATGCATTTTTCCTTCCTTTCTCCCCTTTCTCTCCTTTTCCATTTTCTCATCGAGTTCATCGCTAAAACGGAATTTTACAACTATATATATATATTTTTTTTTTCTTTTGTTTCCCCGCGTCCACTTCTCGCACGTTCCATTATTTTCCATTTCGTCTCTGTGTGTTTCCTCTGTGTATAGTAAGTCAATAAAGCGTTTGCTCCTCAAGGCAGCTCCGCAAATAGAGAAATAGTGATACCTGGCAGTAAAAAAGAAAAATAGTTCTTTCTTTTTCTTTTTCTTTTTCTTGTCAATTCGAACAAGATTGTCTTAGATATTCGCACACGAGTCGATTCAAAAAACACGTCTCTGTCCGCGCGCAAAAATGGAACAATGCTTAATTATAATAATCTATGCAACGTTAGCGCGATACAAACAACAAAGTCATCGGTTATTAAAAGTCGATAAAAATCACGATCCGTGGAATTCTATCGATAAATCACATAATAGTCGCCATATATACCACGAAGCTATGGGTTTTATTTTCATTGTATTTCCTTTTTTTTTTCATTTTTTTCTTACTCTTTGTTCGATCGTTTTGTCGATTAAAAAAACGAGGCTTTTATTTCGTTTGATTGAAAAAATCGTTTCTTTCGTGCCGAGTCGATGATAACAATTCTCTATCGGTTTTTTTTATTGAACGTCAACGTATAAAAATATTTCAAACTAACCCATCTTTAAACAACTAAATCGAAAGCTAAATCAATCTTTCTAATCGACGTTCTTCTCCATTTTTCTTTCATTTGTTTTTTAATCATCTATCGTGATGCACATTCATCTCACGTCGAGTTTGAGTATTTTGCGAACTATCCGCAAGATATTGTTATCACACGAATGCTGAAGGATTAAGACCTTTTTCTTTAGGAGTCGCTTTTTTCTTTACGCATACGCGTTTTGTTGCCAGGTGACACTGACGAGCTAGCCTGATGGCAAAAGGAGAAGTTATGATCTAAAATCTACGGAAAGACCCGTTCACCTACGAGCTCACGTGCTCTTTTTCCCTTCCCTCTATTAAACGAATTTCTTCTATCATGAAGAGGGACTGTTTGAAGAGCCACCTTCGTCGATCGTGCTATCTTTCTATCTTCATCTAGCTACTTCCAATGTATACGTTTAATTTGCATATTATCTTAGAGTTTATCTGAAAATGTACTTTAAGGATATATAAATCTCTCTTCTCAGTTACATCTCGTATTCCCCATAAAAGTCAAGTCAATGCCTCGCAATAAGAAATTCTGAGAGATGGCAAAGTTTCGTAGTCGACATGGAGCATCAATCTTAAATGAAACAAGCAATCACCTGCTCTTTCATTTTTAAATAGTTCGAACTCCACGAACATTCGTACAAAAAGAGTCTCATATCATTATAGAACGACGTTTTTGATTTTCTAAGTTGCAAATTTCTAACGCTGCAATCTTAGTCTTCTATCAATCTCCTCTCCTTCTTCTTTATTTTTCTCTATTCATTTGCTTAGTTTGGCATCGAAAGAATGCAAAAGTGCTCAAAAAGATCGTCACACTGGACATTCCGACAATTTTATCCGGAGTAGTTTTAATAGACGCGTTAGGTGAGCTCAGGCGTGAACGAGTCTTTTTCTTTTTCTAACAAAGAGAAATCAGCGAGTGACCCGACGCGATCGTTTTGTTACTTTTTCTCTTTTCTCAATTACTCCATAGGACGGGCCACCCTATATCACAATCTTCGTCGACGTCGTGGAGACGTTCGTCGTCAGCGCGAATGGCGGATGAGCCGATGCGTGGGTGATGGATAGGACGATCTACCGATGAGAGAGACGCAATGCATGACACGATGACGACGAGGACGATGACGACGAATGACAACACGACGCAGCAACGTCATAAAAAGAAACCACCGTCACCGTCGCCCCGAGTACAAACGGAGTATTAGCAAAAATTCCTCTTGTCGTGAAATACCCCCGGTAGCCACGATCAACCGAGAGAGATTTTATTTTTGTTATCCAGCCTCGACGCGAGGCCACCACACTGCACCTTCACCTATACCCGCACCACACTGTAGCACCTCAACACATTGCAATTGTCATGGCCTATGGAACCTGCAACCGAGCAGAATACAAATGCGCTACTTGAGTCTGTAGTTAATGGACCGGCTGGAATGGCTGGGATAGCGATTGATTTCTATCAGACGATATTGAATTTAATTTCGAGCAATCTACTTCGTTAATCCTTTGCAATCTTCAGTACACTTTTATAGCAAAATCTTCTGAAATTAAGAACTTTGTTTCGATAAGGTTTTTAAATTTATTTAGACTGTAGCCTTCTTTTTATTTTCCATTCTTTATTACAGAAGATAATACAGATATAATTTTTCTGTTATCTATGTTTCTGCAGTGGCACAGAAGAATCCAAAGGATTAAGGTTTTATTTGAAATTGGTTTCGTTGGAACGCAATAAAAGTACAATTTAAAGCTTCTATAGTAGTTTCTTGGGGGTTAGAACATGAATTGCAGTATTTTGTGTGGAAAAGAACAAACACATTGTCTGTCTATCTTTGAAATCTTCATTTGTTTCTCGTGCCAATTCGGCATGTTATGATAAATATAAAAAAAGCAGTGTTATTATCCGTGAATGATGCAAATAATCTTATGTCTGAATTTACGGAAATTTCATATTTTTACTTCTAATAAAATATATTAATTATCAAACATATTCATTATCTAATAATCTAGAATTTCTATTGTTTTTAAATTAAAAAAATTAATCTGTCTCATAAATAAATAAACAAATATACAGGACATGTCAGAATTATCTTTATATTTCTATCGTAAATACATGAAAAAATAGCGTACCTGGTGAGGTGTCGGCTGTCTTCATGAACGGCCATCTCCGAACTCTTAAACTCGTTCAACTCCTTTCTAATGGCTGCTTTGTCCTTTGGAGTCAATCGCGTCCAGGGTTTATCAGCCCTTCTGTCGTAATCGTGAGCCTGCGTGACTTCGATGTAGTCGTTGAACCTGATAATCTAATAAAATACAGAAAAAAATCCAACATTTCTTTCACTTTCCTGGTTGTTTCGATTTCATAGCACAACGTTATAACGGTAAAACTGAACGAAACACACCTTCTTTTCCTTGAGCTCCTCGACGGTCGGTCGAAAGCTGAGCTTTCGCAGTAGATACCGCTTTTTCTCCTCTTTTTGTTTCTTCTCCTCTGCAGGACTTTGCTCTGTAAATAGATTACGCGGGCATCATATTTTATCCAAGATTTATCGTATGGCCGAGAAAATGGAAAAATTGCGAAAACATCGAAGTATGCAAACAATCTTGATATTTGCTTGCTACGTATGAAATAATCAATTTTACAAAAACGTAAAATCTTACATATTTAATCTTTCGATATTATTTATCAATCATTATTAATAACACATTAATTAAAAATTTGAAACTAGCTGAATACAATATATTAATTGAACTTTTGTCAATTCTGACAATTATTTTATTACATAGATATTACGCGGAGAAAGCATCGAAGCAGCCTGTTTTTCTTAAACAGGAATTAAACTTGAAGATAATACGATTAAGAGTTGCTCGTAACATTGGGATAACTTTTGGAGAAGTTATAGTAATTCTCCGTAGCACTCTTGGGTCCATTTGGACAGATGCAAAATTTCACTTTTGTTTCAATTCTGTGGGGAAACCCCCTCTTTTATTACGTAATGAAATAGACGTGTTAATAAATAACCTGGAATTTTTGCAGAATTCGGCGAAAATCCAGAACATTAAAGAAGTTTGAAAAGGTCAAAATAAATAGATTTGCAGATATTGCAGAGAGAAATCTATCTTTAGTGTGAAAAATTTTAGTTGGAAATGACGGATCATACTTTAACATTTTGCTTCCCTGCTCGGTAATTTTTAATATTACTTTGATTAACAGTTTTATTTCCGATAAATCTATTAAGTTCAAAAAATAGCATCAAGTATTCGACCATTTCATCCGCAACAAGTTAATACATAGTTTCAATTTTAATTAACAAAGATAGATATTTTGCAAAAAGTTAACTGCGTTTGGAGCTTACTTTTCAAAATGTTTCTTTCCTCCAGTTCCTCCTGTGTCGGCCGCATACTCAGCCGCCTGAAACAAGAATTCCACGTGAATCAGTGTAAGTTTAAAGTCGCTTTTCTTTCAATCGGTTGTATCGATCAAGAGAGAGCGTAAAATTCACACGAAGACAAATAAGTGAATCATCGTGGTTATCTTCTGTTTGCCCCGTGATCCGACGTATTGTCCTTAACGTCACATGTTTGTGAAGTATTAAATTCATTCTTGTAAATATTATAAATAGATGTTTTGATATTTCAGAAAATGAATCTATAATGATTGTTACAAGTTTATCGTTAGTTATAGGAGAGAAACTTTAGAATTGAATATGTTGTTAACCAAACCCATAGCAAAACAATCTTTGCAGTGAAATTCGTGTTTTTGTCACCTTCTTGCACGTTTAAAGAATATTAACAACGTTAATTATACGTAGATAGAATTAAATTAATTATTCGTTCCTTGACAAAACATTTTGGAATTTATTACTTATTTTTAAAAGACTCGTATTTTCGAGTTTATCAAGTTAATTCCTTCTTAAACTATCTTATACTAGCTACTCTGTTTAGCTACCGAGTGACATAAAAAGTCAGGAGATCAACAAAAATGGGGCTACCACATCTTCACAGTCAAAGTTAAAAGAAAAACACTGAACTGCCAGAAATGAAATAAAGTTCTTCGTATAAAAAATTATTCAAGAAGTCGAAAGGTTAAATATGAAATGGAACCTAAATCTTTTTCAAGTTCTAACAGTACACATACAGACTTCGATATCAACTGTTTTCTCATAAGCCAAAGATAATACGCATTGTGAACTTCCTCCTTCACGTAATGAGCGAAACGAAGTGCACTTTCGACTGTTCTATATCTCCACACGATTCAACAAACAATCTTTTACGTTTTAACATCTTGTACTTTAACATCGAAGCCGTACGGCCAATTTCAATCCACCAATGAATGATTAAACTTTCGCGAAGGAAAATCAATAAACGGAGGCATCAAGGATATTCGAAAACTACGCACGTACGAAGGTATTCGAATATTATATAGGATTTAGTATTTATATAGTATTACGTAAACAATTTTTATAAATTTATTTTATGCGGTATACCAAACTTCTTGAAATTTCATTAGGTTTGTAATGAGACGCGACTATTGCGATTACATTGGTAAAGTCTGAAATTGTTATATTAAAATTCTCCTCTATGATCATGGAGTAATATTAAAATCAGAAAGTCAACAAAAATGTACCCATTATATTATCTTCTCTCGTGACGTTCATGTATTTATAAAAAGTTTCTACAGTAGCTATAAAAAGTGTTTGCGCCATTTTTGTATTCGTACCATTTACTATAGCATTTCTATGTCAATCAATTATGTCCGAGTATATCAAGTTTCATATCATTTGGTAGTACTTTCATATGTCTAGAGAAATTAATAATACACTATGAAAGTGAGATGTGGAACCTGATGAAAACACGCCGCATTGAAAAATTAGAATGTGCATATACAAATATTTTTACAAATTTTGTAACCACTGTGTAATACTTTCAAATACTCGAATACTTTCACGAGCAAGTGTAACAACATCGATTCTAGAAAACTCATCAATGGTGATCGAGAAATTCGTATTCACCCTAAAGGGGTTAGCTTGTGGAGGCAAATCCTTCGCGTTCTTGGTTTAGTCCTGAATTTATGATTCGTAGCTACGCCAATGCGAGTGCATAAATTCAAACGAAACGTTAACTACTTCGTCGGCCTGATATCGCTAACAGTTCAGGCAATGCTTTTCTATGGCTGCAGACGTCACTATTCATGGCAAAGCGAGATACGCGAGGATTCAATGGCCGTTTCAATGCAAACAATCAATGGACCACCCTCGAATAATGTTTGCCGTGCTTTCATCTATTATCACTTATTTTATTTTACCATCGCTAAGGACGATGAGTTTATCGAGGCTTATAACGAGCTTCTTTTTCTTTTTCTTTTTTTATATTATGAAAGTGAATCTGTTTGATTGAAAATTACCTTTCTTTGTTGGGATGGAAATAAAAGTTATTTGTTTCAGAAAGTTAATTATACCTTGCCCTTTTTTATCTGGTAACTTTTAAACATTTCTCTGCTTTTATGGAAATGAATCTGTTTGATAGAAAATTGTATTTCTGTTTTAGGTAGACGTTGAATAAATTTCATTTGATTTCAAAAAGTTAATTGCATTTTCTGTTTGGTCTTCTTTATTTAATTTCTATTTAGATTGTATATTATATCAATTTATTAATTAGTGTAATCTTCAGAGATCAATTGAGAATAAGAAAATAAGAACAAAAATAATTTTATCAATTCGTTTCTTGTTTGTAATAAAAAATAGATAAAGGAAAGAAAAAATGAGGAACATTTGCTCACCTGATAAGCTTGGCACCAATTGCCTCCTTCGTTTCCTGCCTCTCATTGTCCGTCTGTAGTTGAAGGATGTTCCTGTTGATGAGCTCCTGCCTATCTGGCCTGAGGGCGAGCTTCAGCGACAGCGACTCCTTGCGCGCAATCTTTGCTGCCAACCGGCCTGCAATTAGAGAAACAATTAGTTTCTTAATTTAACATGACTTATATGTTCACGAGACGCTAACTCATGAAGCTCCTTTTCGCAGATGAATATTACTTTCGAGATGACACTAATTAACTTTCTAAAGAATTTAATGGTAAAGGGTAACTTAATTGCTATTAATAGCATCTTATTTTTAAATATTGGATTACAGGAATTTTCTTCTTATTATAATAATTAATATTAACTTAAAATTAGATTCTTTTTATTATGCTCTACATGGTCTGTAACTACTTCCGAGGTGGTGTAACCTTTCTGAAGAATTTGACACTGACTTTTTGATCAAACTATACTAGGTATTCATCGTAACGTGATTCATCGCCGCTATTTTTGAGACACTTCTGACTACCCGATAAAAAATTATTCCAAATAAGAATTAATCAACATTAAATCGACAATAGATCGTAATATAAAAAATTGCAAAAAGTCTACTAAGATTACAATATATAAAAATATACTACAGGATATAATATAATATACAAAAATAAAATATTCTAAATACAGTACTCGTTATAGAATATAATAAGTAAAACAAATGTCTAATAAGAGTATATTTGTTTAACTGTATCCACAAAAATATATATCATTCTAAATTCTTAGTCCACTAATAAGATTCCTCACTGTCGTCTAAGTCAACATGCTGTATATAGACAACCAAAGTACACGTTAATTTTTCATCGATTCTTTTGTAATTTAACCACCGATTTAAATTCAATTTCGATTTACCACTGAAGAGGGAGGAACAGCTAAGGCTACGACGTATGGGAGGCTCGTGTTTAAAAAAATCCATCGAGCCACAGGCGATCGACAAAGTCGACGCAGTCCAGATTGACAGCATGGTGTCATCGCACTGTTAATTCTTCCCTTAATCTTCTTCAAAAACTAAAATTCCCTTCCGAGGTAATCTTCCTCGAATCAATCTCGGCCCGAGTCCGCAAATTCGTAAATAAATCGATTTAAATTAGGTTTAGATTGAATTGACAACTTCTTCAAGATTTAGATCTTTAGATTTAGATCTTTAGATTTAGATCTTTTAACAAACTGACGAACTTTCCATTATAGCTTCCGATGGTTCGATAGGACGATAATCTGCGTTTCGTAGGAGGATCGTTAATTCAAAACAACGCAACGGCCAGAAACACACTGAACTGCTTGCCAGCGATCTTCGAGGATTAATATAACCTTCGAGGCGTTTGCGTGATCACGCGTTTGTCTATGTGAATAAACGTATCGCGCCGGGAGTATAATTAGTCCGGACTGCGAATGCTGATTTCGTGTGTTTGGCAATCAAGCTATCGCCATCTTTTTACGACCCTTTCACGCCTCATATTTTATCCCGTAAAGTACCTGTCCACCCTTGTTCGAAACCACTTCACTTTATCATCGTCTTTCTTATTAGGAAAAACACAAAGTACATTCTCGCTCAAATATCTTCGAATAATTATTGTACCTGTTTTAAAGTCAGAAGAATTAAGTAAATAATGAGGTGGATAATAAAGTAGCTAATAAAGGTATGAAAAAATTTCTTTTGATTAATTGTCATGCCTGTGACTTGATGCAAGAAGTACCAATGTCAGTGTTCATAAAATTAAGATATTAGCATTGAAAGATATGTTAAAAAATTCGTTCAAATAATTTCTGACACGAAGAAGATAGAAGTTTCTGCTGTTCCAAATTTCTTTTCTGATGCAAGAAGAGAGAACTAAAGCTTATGTTATTTGCGTGTTTCATGTTAACTTTGCTATCCTTTTGTAGGAAGTTGATTCTATGAAAAATGTTCACACTGGCATATACAAATGCCATTATAATAATTTTTAGGTAGAATTTGAAATCGTCGTTTTTCATATAGAATGCAAAATTATTTACAAACTCAACACCGGGTTTAACTTGTTTTCTGTAAAAGTATAACATTTGACTCTTCTTGCACCAAGCCACAAATATAATTGGAATTTTGTTTGTTTATGAACGTATTATGGATGTTTATACCCATATGCAAGACTATATGAAATAAGTGAAATAAATCTCTTTGCATGCAATCAAAAATGAGAGATATCCTAAGATTTTTTAACGGAAGTATATGTCCCGTTTAAAAGGTTTGATTATCGCGAAGGGCTTTAAAGTTTTTAATTATTTTGGTTAAAAACATATATACGCAAGGATAATTCGGACTAGCATGCTCCTTCAGGATGAAACTAAGCAAACGAACTTAACGAACGTGATCTGCTGAGCTCTTAGTTGTAGAGATACGACTGGTTTGAGTTGTTGAACGAACCGTCGAGTAGTGTCTAATTGGATATACGAAGTGGAATTAGTCCAAGACCAGAAGTCATGTTTACGATGCAATATTTTTATATAAAATCTTCGTGCTATATTGTCGTATATTATTGTCATATTCGTTACAAAACAATTTTCACGCATTTAGTCTTTACATAATAGTAATGTAATACTTTTTCACATACGCAAATGAATGCATAGTAAATAAAATATTATTCGTTATGCATTATTCGAACAAAAGTGCGCTTTAACAATGCCCAACATTGTTGCAGGACACCCGTTTGAAATATTGGGTTATCGAGTTTTCGCTTTATTCAAACACATAAAAGTTATATTGAATTTCTGTCTCGAACTTTATTCTAAATTATACATGTTTAGTTCCCTTTACGAGCAATTAAAATTAGTTCTCCTAAAAATTAAAGCTATCCTTCTGCCTTTCTTCCACCAGAAACGTAAAATATTACAATAATTCTTGTAACACCATAACGCTAAATATCGCAAAAAGAACCTTAAAAAAAAATAAGGAAGAAATAAAAGCTTCCTGTCTCATGATTTTTAGGCATTTATGGGAAATATAAAAGCGCAAAGATATAAGGACCGTATGTATCCAAAAATATATAAAATGGTTATGTAATGGACGAAGTAAATTTCTCAGCTAGTATTCTTTCCTTCTTAATTTCTATAGCTAATTCTTTAGTAGATGTCTTTTTGTATATTAATTTCTCTAGCGAATTATTACTGATTATTACTTTCCATTGCGATCTAAAAAGATCATGGGACATAACATGCAAAAATATATAAAATACTCCAAAGTAGAATATTCGTTATAATATCTAGAAAATGAAACAATTCTGTGCACAGATTCCATTTCTTTAATTGTGTCTAAAAATGTAAATCTGTATAAATATCCGTAACCTAGCGATCAGCATAAAGTGGGATCGAATCGAGTAACGTTAAGATGGAAAAGTAATCGAAAGAATCATTAACGAATCGCTTTAATTGCCTCGGATTAATTGTTAAGGGGTTCACGTTCACATTTACCCAGGTTAAAGTGGGGAAGAAATTTCAATTAGAAACGGTAGTGTTGCAGCTACATCGTTTATGTAATTCCTTCCTCCAGAAGACAAAAAAAAAAGAAAAAAGGAAGAAAAAGGAACAGAAAAGAAAAGAGAAAGGAAAAAAAAGAACGGCGAGGATGGTATTGTGTTTCTCATTAAGCTCGACCAACACCGAACGAATCTTCCATTGAAAAAAGCTTTTATCCTTTTTGCCTTCGTTTAAGATGTTATTAAAAAATATTTCTCACTGGACTTGCTCCCTTAACACATTCACCGCTACCAAAATACAACATGCTTAACTGTGAAATAGATTTCTTTTTTCCTAGAAATGAATTGAAAAACGTAAATAATAATTTTTGTCTTGGCACACTGTGACTCGGTTCGTTCTTTGTCTTTATGTCAACGAAACGTTAGAAAAGACAAAAATGTGGCAATTACGTAAGCAGAATTATTTTCTTGGAGATAATTGAATCAACGCAACGTATACGTCGGAACGTGTTGAAAGTGACGTTTGCAATAACTGAACTACGTTAAACGAGAGAATAAGTTAATCGTCAAGCTCGTCGATGAGTTATCGAGGCCATCGGCCACACGTGGATCGAGCGGTGGTTATTCGATGCCTCAATGTTTAATAATATCGAAGTGGAGAGATGGAGAAAAAAGAAAAAAAAAGAAAGAAAAGGAGAAGTTGCTAATGGAAGCGTACGGCGAACCTTGGGCGTATAAAAAATTCACGACAGAACTTTCCCAACGCAGAGGCAAATGAAATTAAGTCGTCTTTTGATAATCCATTAATTAACTTCCCACTAAAAAATCAATAGTTGGCCGTAGTTTTTAATAAAAAATAGAGGACGAATTTAATGCCAGTGTCTGTCAAATTCGCACCCTTAGAGCATCGAAATTTCAAAGTAGTTAATAGCCAATGAATTGTATATATAGGACGCTGGCTGTTTTTAATAGCCAGCGCAATTCACATTCTTGAGACGCCTCTATTGTGCGAATGATATGCACATACAATTTGCGATAGACAGCTCAGTTATTGATATCACAGACTGTACTCAACATAGGATGAAATTTTATTATAGTTTTCGTAAATATACAAGTTCTTGCTACAGGTTTCACTGCTGAATAAATTTTCCTATTTCTGTTTTAATACAGTCTTTAGGTTATGCATATTTGGATACACGTTCGATACTTTATACTATTACTATAAAATTAAGGATACTAAAAGCTACACGAACATAACCATTTATTTAATTTAACCACTTCATGCATCCACTTCTCTGTTCACCTCTATGACTCTCATAGCAGTCACTGCATTAAACTTTCCTCAACTTTTTTCTCACAATTCCCTGAGGGCTACCTACACTAAATTTCCACCGCACTCGTTTCCGGTACTTACTTTTCTCATCGTCGTACTCATCCCTGTAGAGTACCTGTCCGTCTCCGGAATCGCCGTCAGCGTCCTCCCTTATCACGTACGGCCGCGCGTTCTCCTTGTTCTCCAAAGTGCACGGCAAAGCGAGGCCAAATCTGACCGGTCGACTGCTGAAAGAATCGTCACGAAACACATTCAATCGATTATTATTGTTATCATTTATTAAATAAAGCGCTGGTTGACGCTACTTGAATCAATGTTCTACTCTACGGCGATTCAAATACGAATATATGCGATTACGGAGGGGGATGAAATAATGGTACACGGCCTGGTCAGTATGCACTACCGATTATCAATATCCGGACACTTCGATCGATTTGTACTAACATCATGTGAACGTTGCCAAAGTATTCAAATTAATATCAAACTAATAATTAGAAGTAGCATTTACAACGTTTCTTAAAAGGTCATCATATCAGTCTAGTCCACTACCGAATTGGGATCATTCGAAATCACTAAATATCTTTCATTAACATTGGAAGATACAACTAAATTTGATGTATCACGACAATTCATATTAATTACAAAGATTTTATGTATGTTTCGCTTATACTCTCTTTAGCAGAATTTATATATTTATGCAATAGTGTTACAGTTAAAAGTGCGAAACTTGTATACATGGTCCTAATTTAATGGGCAGGGGCTGTAACTCTAAAGTATCTGTTAAAAACATAGCAATAATATATCAAATATCACTATCTGTATCGATATCTAATGTATTCCTATCAGTTTAGAAGATCCTTTTTAATGATTCGTAATTCAGAAATTAAAATAATTCTGTAAGGTTTGACAAATAGAAATACTAATTTTATTATTGCACATCGCGCTTTTGATAATAATTTAACCGCGTCACAATATTCGATTATACAGTACTATACAGGTTATGTGGAATAAGTTTATTGCAACTCGATTTGTCTGTAATTTTGCAATCAGAATACAGAACCTTATTAGGAATAAGCAAGTGTCCGGATACTTTCTGGCGGTAGCGTATTTATCTGCACAGTGTATGTGTATGTGACACGTTGATGAAGATAACAGAAGCAAGTTACGGGTTCTCCGTGAAACGGACGTTGTCCTTGTCCGTCACGAAATGGGTTATCAAACGACGTCGACGCAGATAACGCCGTTTCCTTTCCGACGCGGATGCAACATTTTTTTTGTCATGTTTAACTTCGCGTTGCAGACTGGTTGTGATATTCGTGATACCGTGGAAAGGAAGCTGTGACAGCTATCTTCCTCTTTTTATTGTTTCTTTTACTTTTTAAATTTGGCCAACTTGTTGAAAAAGTGTCTCATCACGGATTTTAATGGGACTTCTTTTAATCTTCGTTGATACGTATGAACGAATGGAAAAATGAAACGACTAAAAAATTGCTTAGAGCTTTTCCTCCGTCATTTTTCGTTCTAAGATGTATTTTTTCGTCATCAAGGTCATTCTTTTAATTTCGTCCGTTGTTACTACGTATCGATGAAGATCGATTCTGATTTTAATTTGTTTCTGTTACCATTTTCAATTTATGAGCGAACAAGGAGATGGCAAGTACTGCGAAATCTCGAATGAATTGGCTATATGCGCATTTGTTGCTTTGCGTTAATAGTAGCACAGCTCCAGAAAGATTGGAGTATGTGACTCTTTGTTCTCGAGAAACTAATCGAGAAGTTATGTTCTTGCTTCAGAAATTATTTATGTTTTAAATGCTTCTATTACAATCTTCACTTACAAAATGATAAAAATATCCATTATGATAAATAAAGAATAATCAAAAGCTAATAATAAAATAAGAAAGCTAAATAAAGAATAATAAAAAAGAATTTATTAATTTCTCGAAAACAAAAGGTCATGCATTTAAATCCTTCGGGGACTGTTTCACCATCAATCTAAAGCATCGAATGTACATGCAGCCTACTCATTCGAGATTTCGCAGTTCTTGCCACCTCCTCGTAAGTAAATCTGCTAAAAAGGGATTAATATTATTATTTTACGAATTATTAAAAACGGCAGAATACAAAATTGATCTTTATACATTTAGGCAAATTTACAAGGGTGTTTTTACAAAACAGAATAATTTCAAATTTATGCATCATAATCCTTTGCACTGAATTAAGATTTAGTGCTATACGATGATATTGTGGAATTATTGTCAGAACTCTATTGTTATTTCTTGTATTGTTTTTGTTTTCTGATGATGAAAATGATAGTGCGAAGGATTAGGATGCAGAATAATGTATAATAAAAAAAAACATAGTAACAGAAACGAGCACATAGAAAAGGTTTCAATATATTACAAACTGCAATTATTTAAACAGCTGAGTACCAGACAGACTTAGCACCCCCAAGTTACATTAACCTCCAGCTGTTCAAACATTGAAATGCCAGCTGAATTTAATTAACCCTTCAGTGATTAATCGTTGTACACGCACAACAATTGTATGTCACAAACTCTAAAATATTTTAGTATGGTAATACTTTAAATGTAAAAGTAGATGCTAGCTACGAATTAAGGTGAAATGTTCGAATTGTGGAAATAATAAAATAACAAAAAACAAGGATAGTTTCTTTGTGAATAGATGGTCCATTTATACTCATTTATATCGATATTTTATAGTTTGATAATACTGATATATTTCATGCATTTAAGGTCATATAAGCATTAATTATAATATAAATGTAACAAATTTCAAAATCACCAAGCTAATGTCACAGAAGGGTTAAAAGAAATTCTTCAAGAACATCGTGCACGAATTTTTAAAAAACAAATTGACGAACGTTAGTTTCCTCGAGAAAACTTCGAAAAAGCTGTGAAAAAAGGAGTGAATCCGAAACAACGCGTTTCTTAGCCAAAAAATTCGATCGTCAGTCGTGAAAGCGAACGAGCGTAAAAAGCGTCGAAGCCGCGTGGCATTGGGAACGTAAGAAGACAAGAACTCGAAGCAAAGAACCGTCACGGACCGAGGTGACGTTTCTTAATCCATTACAGCCGACGTACGAATCGAACTGCTTTGTATTGTCTAGCTCGATTCGTTGGCAACGATAAGGAATCTCGAGATCCTCGTTCTCGTCGATCGATGGTTCGAGGTTCTCTGGCCGCGTGAAACGTAAATAATCGGATGAGTGAAGCGTGGGCGACAGTTTTCATGGGTTTCCCTAGGGTTTTCTCATGCTTAAGGTCGTAGGTTTACCATGCTCACGGCGTTCCTGATGCTGACACAGAGATAGAAAGAAAAAGAAATAGAGAGAGAGAGAGAGAGAAAGAGAGAAAAGGAGGAAAGAGTCTCCAGAGAAAAATAGAAATATACAATAAATATATGAAAAAAAAAAGAAAAATAGAGCAAATATGGAGAGAGCTAAAAAAGAGAGAGAAAAGAGATAATAAAAAGAGAATAATGAAAGAGAGTAAATATAAATACACTGTGCCTTATAACAATAAAACCACATTAAAATTTTTATTTCTTAACAGCTACAATGCAACGAAACTTGATTAGAAGTATGCAAGATTAAATAGTTGAACTTGTAAAAGCTATTGTTACATATTCATTTTATTCTATCTTGAATTCAATTTTTTTATAATTAAATATTATGCTATATGCTATCAAACAAGAATAAACTGCGAGTACATTTCTATCGTTTCTCTTTTCTCCACTACATACAATCTATGTTTCGTAAGGAAAAAGACGATAAATAGTTTCTCAGTGCGATATCAAACATATTTAACGTACAAAAATTGAAAACTTTTAATTGGTTCCACAGTTATGAGACCCAGTGTGTATATATAAGAGATAGAAAAATATTAAGAAAAAGAGAGAGACTAGATGACTGTTGGTTCTCTGCGATCAACCGCCGTGGGTATAAGACAAATATTTATACATATATATATATATATATTTAGGTATATATACCATATTGGTTCGCGCATGCTTAGTTAGACCAATGCCCAATTACCATATTCTCATCCTAGGCCTCAACGGTGGCCTTCTGGTTAAGCATAAGAAAAATACCATACTTTTAACTAGTGACTGACACATAATGTATTTTTTGTTGTATCTTTTTTTTTTGTTTTTAATGGACGGATGCGCGAAGCTACCCCTTCGTGAGATTCGCCTCACCACCGGAGCATCGTTCTCGATCCCTTCGATCCAACCTTCGAAATACACGTCGCCGTCTCTTCTTTTGCTTTAACAATCGAAACGGAACACTCTCTGTACTTTACTTTGGATTTAGTATCTCGGTTGTTACGTATGAAACGCTGCCTCGTAAAGGAACCTATATAACGTTTACGCGGCTGGGTAAATGTACTGCCATAGTCTGACTGCTGCTCGAAATACGACGTCGTATAAAATGTTACTGCTTGATAGTGCACTTAAATTTCCTGTTACTTTTTCGGCTTTTTTCCCCAGTGCACTTTAAGTTAAAGTCTTTTGCCCGACGAATATTCTGATTTAAATATTTGGAAATTCTTTCCTTGTACAGTGATTTTAATAATAATTAATAGACGACATTAGCGTATCGGTAATTAGGAGGAAGCTGTGAGTTACAGAAATCTGTTGGATAAATAATTTTGAGAATTTTATAAGTGCGCGTTAAGTTATTTTTTTGGCTTGATAAGACTTCTGAGTAAAAAATTTGAAAATTCATAATATTGTGTTATCTTTTTTTGTAAATATCAGGGTTTCCTTGCATAATAATTTGGAAACTACATGTTGTAGTGATATTCGTGAATTAATGAGTTGAAGGATATAGAGTCTCTTTGTACCCGGAGCCGATAATTGTTTCTGTGAAAAATGTAGAAAATTCGCAAAATCATTTATTTGTAAATATCAAGTCAATTTCATCAATATCAAGAGTTTTGTATCGACTCAGTTTGCAGATTACAACTTAAAAAATGCGTTTTACTATGCTTCTACTAAAACATAAATGATCTATTTAAAAAAAATTGTAGAACTTCATTCCTTAAATTTTGCATCATAGCGTATGACGCTTAAATTCGACGAATGTAATGTAAAATAGTGCACGGAATCGAGAAAATCGAATTGTTACTACCGAAATTCGTCGAAATAATATCGAAAGTAGCACGACGCGCATCCATTTGAACGAAACGATGAGTGAAAGGGAACCTGCAATAGAAAAAGAAAGAGAGTATGCGGGAACACGGTGCACGTGCGCGTGAGAGAGATGACAAGGCCGGAAGGTGAAGAACGATGTTCCAGACGAGCTTCTCCAGAGTTTTCAGGCGTTTTTTCATTAAAACCAGCACGCTAATTAAACTCAAACAATTCGCCCTGAATTTCAGTCGAATCTTTTATTCTCTATACCAAAGTCGTTTGACTACGATCAAGAAATTCTTCCAATAAAATCACAATTAAACCAAAAAAGATATCTTATTATCGATGCTTCCGAACCCCGAAGAAGACTCGTTTTGTTTCGCGACGAATCTTGTGGTTGATCGAAAGAAAGACTCGCGGGCACTTTGTTGAATTATTCCTTTTCGAGAAATATTTCTTTTTCATGTAACATTTTTAACGATCGAAATTAGAAACTTTCTTATATAGAAATATATCTATTCCCAAGAAATTTTCCTGATAGTTTAAATTAAGAACTTAATGAATCTCTTTCTCTGTTTTGTTGTATGACCATCGAGTCTTTCGAGAAGAAAGGTGTCTGAAGGGCTTCCCGTCAGCAGAGAAATCGCTTGCTGTTGCACTAACTTGAAGGAGGCATGCAGCTCCTGACGAAGGGTCAACGGCCTGTTCTCCTGCGTTGGCGTGTTCTGCGGCGTGCCAGGCCCACTTCCGGAACCCCTCTTCTTCAGCACACTCTTCAGCGGCACCGCGTGAAACTTAGGCTCCTTCGCGGGGATCTCCTCGACCCTGGACGTGTCGATGGCCGGGTCCGGCTGCGACATCCTCGGCACGTACATGTTGTCTTCTTCCTCCACGTCGAAGTCTTCTTCGTCCTCTGTGATAGGCGGAGGAAAAATGATCGTAAGATGTGTTTTTAGTAAATTAAAAGATTGGGTTTTCCGTGTGTTGTTATTATCGATTTTAAAGAAAGACAAATCTTTAGATAGATTGTTTTTAACGTGTAAAAAGGGAATATGCTTAAGAAGAATACAAAAACATATCGAATGTTTTAGTTTTGAAATCAAGATACTAAAATATTTTGGATACTGTTTTATTTATACTAACAGAGAAAAATGCCACATCAAAGTTTGACTTTGAGTAAAGTTTTAATTAAAATAATAGATGCTAATTTACTGCTAGTGGTGTATCCACATTTAAGGCCATACAGATTTTAGAGAAGTACCTCGAATTTTAGGTTCCAAAAATTTTTTGCCAGTCGAAGTTTAAAATTTGTTCGTAATAAATGTAATAAAAATTACGCATTTCTGCTTCTCGGAATTATCTATTTTTAGATAGCCGTCTTCGAAATATATATTTTACAAAATACCTTCAAAGATACTGCAGGAAAAGAACAATTCCAAATTCATACATATCATTGAGATAGATTCGATATCTCGAGTTTTAAACTGCAGTTTCGGTGCTCTAAACAAATAAACTTTAGTGTCTGACCAATTTTACGGCCTCACCATATTGATGGCACCTACAGTACGTATTTTTATGGTACGATTTAATTGAATCGACTTTAATATTGTTATTTAGCAGTTATTATTGTTTATATATCTTAAAATTTTAGAAATTACAGCTTTTCTATCGTTGCAGTATATTATAGGTAGGTATTGTGAAAGACCCTGAGAATTATTTTTGAATAATTTTCAAGACATGGTAAATATAATCAATGAAATTCCCTTTTAATTAAGAAAAAGTCAATCTTGGAATATAACAAAAATTTGTTCAACCCTGAAAATCTAATAAGAGCACAAAAATAAAAAACAAATGAAAAGATTTTACTAGACTTATAAATTTGTATAACAACCCATTGATATAATACAATATTTATTATCAATATAGTAACATATTCAATCTAAAGTATATGAATAAAAATGAAAGACACCAGTGATTTATATATTATGTTAACAATAGCAGAATAAACGTTATATATAATGAACAGTAGACCTTTGGTACATACCTTCTTCTTCGTAGTCGGACGACAAAGGATTCCGTATTTGCCGTTGCTTAGCCAACAAGAGGGTAGGACTCGAAGAGCTGAACATTGGAGGAGGCGGAATCGGCCCAATTTCGCTCAGAGGAATCGGCGGTTCCGGAAGTTCCGACAACATCAACGTATTCTGAGGTGGGAGAGGATAACACCTCTCGATTACCTGCTGGTTTTCGCTGCTTTGGTCTAGGATCCCCTTCTCCACTGAAAACGGATAAAACAAATAATTTGTTAGTCCACCTCGTTTACTTTATTTACTAATTATCTTTATATATAATTAATAAATTTTATTATATTGATTCTCTATAAAGTAATTTTATTTATTATATTTGTCAATATACTACTGTATTTAATTATAGTATTATATTGGTACTTATACCTAACAAATTATTCATAGCAATCATTGGTTCATAAATTCTAGATTATAATGAAAAGCTATAATCGATTATACATTTTTTATGTTATAAGCAAATAATTTTTTATTATAGAAGATTAAATTACATAACTGTAAACGCCAAAACATGGTAGAAAACTAATATAATATGTATGTATGAATTGTAGAAGTGGTAATACAATTATACGAAGTATAAAAGCAATTTAAATTAAAGATTCGTAAGGTAATAGAATTGTGGACGTATCTAGGCACTTGGAGAATCGTTCTATCGCATATTCTATTGGACTGAATCTCAATACTTCCGATTGAATTCGAATATAGAACGCCCTACTTCTCTAGGCTGGATCGAGTGACAAGGAACATCCTATGAAATTAGAATCTTCGAGATCGTTTTTATTATTCTATACCTTGAAAGGAAATTCTAGTTCAGCCTCGTAGCATCACGAATGATTAAATTTACTTAAAATTACGTTTACTAAAAACAGACATCGTATAAAATTCTTATAAAGAACAATACCAATAGAACCGACAATAGACAATTCTCAACATTTTTCCATTTTCAATCGTCTCTATGCAACGGCAATTAAACGAAGTTGACTCACTGTTGGACCTTTATTTGGTTTTATATCTTCTATAAAAATTAATTCTGCGAAATTATCGCAATCTTCGAGATAACGCAACACGTTAATAATCCACGGAAACACATCATCATCCTATCGTTGTTAAATTTACTCCGCATGTTCTTCAATCTCACTTAATAGCGTCCCAATAACTCTCTCGCAATTCATCAACTCTCTACGATCTCCACCAATCTATCAAGTGCACCTAATCAATCCTAACAATCTCTCGTTTCGATCAATTCGAAATGACAATTTCCCCTCTATTATACCATATTCACATAACGCAGTTGGAATGCAACGATGGAAACGAAAATGTCACGATCGGTGGACAACGTTATTCATGGCCACTTCTCTCCAAGATGGAGGAGAGAAAACGTGTGCCAATCCTTTCGGGAAATATGATTCATCGGGGAGTATAGATCCGGCGGAAGCTTGGCAAGTAAGTATGCATTGCTGGTTCCGTTCGTCGCCGTGACAAATTGTGAAATTCCACCTCCGCGACTTTTTCCCACGGATTCCCTTGCGACGCTCATATTCTCTCCTCTTTTTCTCTTTCTTTACTTCCACTCCTCCCGATCCTCCGTTTCCTCATTTTTTATCCAGCACCCGCTGTATCATTTGCGTCACGGTTCATTTGTCACGAGAAATTCTCGCGTAAACCGTAATAAATGAACGCAGCGCGGATTCGCCAGACGACACAATGTAACAGAGATTTTTGCTAAATTTCAAATTCCCCTCTTTTTGCTGCCGCATAAAACTGTCGAAGCTTTCCTCGCTTTTTCCTCTTTCTTTATTTTTGTAACGGATTTGTCGCATTTTCGAACGTTGAGTGATTTTGGCATTGAAGCTGATGAAATGGGTTTAAAAGGGAAGTTTCTAGCGACATCGGTGTAAATGATATTTGGTATGTTATCCATATTTGTGAAGTAACAGATGCTATTCTTTATTTATTCTATAACACAAGCAAATTTAGAATTTATTACAGATCCCAATGCATTTTAGTGACCACTTTAGTATTCATTGTTAAGTCGGAATATTGCAGGTTCTGTTTGTTCTACAATCAATTTTATCAATTATCCGTAAAAAAAGGCGTTTTATATTAATTAGTTAATTAATTAAAAAAAAGATATAAAGTTTACATTATTACACAATATATTTATAACTGAAACGTCTATAATTTATTAATATCTTTCATATTGTTCAATATTTACGTACAATGTATTAAATAAACTTGTAATTTGTAGTAAAAGTAAGGAAAGGGAAATAAGTGCTTGAAACGTGTAGTTTTGTATAGTAATTTTTCATATCGTATGGAACGTGTAATTTACACCATATTAACATCTTCTAATATCTTTATTCGAATTTATTCAAAAACTCAAGTACGATGTTCTGCGAGCTTCAAAGGTAGCTAGTTAAAAGCCAATCTAGCCATCTATTCATACTAATTTCTATCTACACACGTTTATAATTTGTTTATCCAAGTATTTCAGAATCAACAAGTTCTAACGTCGTTGCTTCCCAGAAAAAGTTGCTCGATATTTTATAAAGTGAGTCACTGAGCAACTTTCATTTAAACTTCATTAAAAACCTTTTTTCTCTATCCTGTCAGAAATTTCCCGAGGTTCATTTAAAAAATTGCTTTTTAAAAATGTAAAATGGCCAATTAAATAGACTGCCGCTTTTATCAAGTGTCAGTAGAATTTCCTACGATAAATGTCCAAATATTTCCGCGGGTGAATGTATTTTTAAAATGTCAATCACAAATAAAGTAATATCCTTGGCAGTTTTAACAAGATTAACGAGTAGAAAATTGGTTCACAAACCACCAGCTTTCGGTTAGGGCATTCGAGGAATTCGTGCGATCTCGTGGAACTATGCGCGAAGTTGTTCCCGCCGAAATTTCGGACACTGGCTTGCGGTTAGGTGTCCAGAGAAGTTATTTAACATTTTTGCGACCAGCACGAGAAATTCGTGGCTCGCTCAGTTACTTGGTATTTGTGGTATTTTCTTTCAGGTGCGCGTAACCCCGAAAATTTATATAGACGATGCGAATTAAGCGCGGTGGAACTCGGATTTGAAAATAATAAAAAAATTGTTAAAAGGAAATCATTATTTAAGAATTATCGCCTCATTAAAAATTTTATATCATAGTATCCCATTCAAATAAATATATACGTGTGCTAAATATTTTATAATACGTACGTATATTTTCAGATTCGTTTGAAACATCACCAGCATAATCTTATTAATTCTCGCACTCATTTAAAAATTATGATAGTCTCGTAACAGTGTTAACGAAATTTCAAAATATTTCGTATAAAACATATAATGTACTCATAAATATTCATAAAAGCTACTTGTTAAGTTGTAACATATTAAATGTCTACCTTTGAGTATAAATATTTTAAAATCTAAATCTTTCTCTTTTTAATAAATAGCTTTGCTTCTTTGTAGATCTTTGTAGATCACATATTTGTATCTTCTATGCAAGTATATAAGCGGGTGTTTTTCAAAATTCAATGAAGCGTGATTCTTCAAAAAAAAAAAAAAAAAAAAAAAAA